GAAACCTAGTAATTTCCATCGAAGTTTACTCTATCTATTTTCTCTTGTTATCAATTAGATAGCGAATGTTATTCGCTTTCTTATCGTCAAGGTCAGAGTCATGCAATAGATGGTCCTCAAGGACTTCCATACCAGAACGTAATAGCCTGCGCCGATGTTGTCTGGTTCTCACTTCCTCGTCTTCGGAGCTAGAGTGGGTACTCTCTAGTGAGGTACTGGTATGACGATTACCAAAGTCGTGATTACCAGGTTAGATGGTAAATGAGGATCGATGTTATGAGGGTGGTAAGCCTCATCGATTTCCATACGATCATAGCCTCTGACAGGGTTAGGTTTGTCGAGAGGATGGTCGATTGTAGCTTCCAAGCTAAAAAGATTGATAGTTGAGGCTATATCCACGAAACGCAGTTGTTCCTCCGTTACGTTGATTTGTGGCTGATTCAACAATGTATGTGCTATTGGCACATCTTCCGAGTCATCCTCTCCTGATTCATCATGATCTTGATCCTTCGCTGCGGCTTTCTTTTTCTTCCGCTGCTTATTGGGTCTCAGTTCATGTACCATTGGTTGGTAGTTTTTCATATCTCGAGATATCATATGATAAGTAGGGTCTTGCCTACGTGCTGCGCGTGAGTCCACTGCCGGAGACGATACATTTGATTCCAGTGCGGGTCGCACTTCATCTGAAGTTGAATTTTCTGAGTATTGCGTTTTCTCGGCTTTTCCTTTTCGAGATTTCGCCATTTTCGCTGGTGGCTTCCGTGGCTCCGTAGTCACATTTCCTCCGGATGCACCTACACCTGAGTCAACCAGCTTCTTACGTTCCCGTTTAGTCAGAGTTGGTACCGGTTGTACCGACGTGATCTCAGCTGCATCAGCTTCTACTGATGGTGCCGGGGGTGTTTTCTGCTTTTCTTCGCCTACAGTAAACCCTTTCGCGTTTGCAGCCTTATTTTTTCCTTTCGTCATAATATCGATAGCGTATTCTAAACTTAAAAATATGTAAAAGTTGGTCTCCTCTAGGCTGACTATACGATACCAAGACGTTTACGTTAATAAGGCAATACGTTAAACGCTAAAAAGCAAAATGTTAAATAGGTTTAGCTTCAGCCCTTGGTAATGAGCAAAAGATTAGGGGATTTTAGACTGAGACTATTGTCTATATGCTCCGCTCTAATCACTCACTACTTCAGTCTAGATTTATTTATGTTTTAGTTACTAAGACTAGGTATCATTTCATTGGACGCATAGTTTACATTTCACGCCTCGAAACAATCACCTAATCAAACTAACCAGTAAAATACCTCTAAGTCCAACTAAAGAAAATATAAAATAAAATCAAAATACCAAATCGGTGCAGTATACATATCTGCACCTAAACCCCATCACTTGGTACCTAGCTCCCCATCCCATTTAAGGCATAGACGGGCACATCTAGTTGGCTGGCTAGGAGGAATCAAAACCATGTTGTCCTAAATTCTAACAACTCTGATCCTGTCCTTTTCTCAGCGGAATATCTTGCTCGGAGATCATTTTCGAATTATACCATAGGTTTGTACCAACAACCATTTCATGCCTGAGACCCTCTCTCTTGGTACTCCCATTAATTAGAGATTCCCAAAGTGTCATTTTCAGGTGTCAGATTGGTATCGTTACTATATTATATACAATTCTAATTTCAGTGGAAAAACCAATCTATATTTGGAAAGCCACCTAATTGTCCACAGTAGAGTCCCATACTCGGTAGAGTCCCATACTCTACTGAGTACTGTCACATGTTCAGAATTTTGAATTACGCCATTCTTGTTCATGACCAATTCGATAAACGTATTCCAGGATTATAAGTATAACCGTTTATACGGTTATACGTTTATAAAATACGTTATCTGTGCAACTACTATTAGGAACCCGCTATTTTTACACATTCAGTGGCGAGGCATTCAATGAAATTTCACGAAATGGAACGCCGCCATCTTTGTTAATAGGTGGATTGGGCTGACTTTTAGTAGTAATAAACCGTCGATCTCGAGACGATTCCTCCACTTGTTCAGGAGATATAGCCTTTCCAATATCTGACTTTTCGCGGTCAGATGGCGAGCTGATGCCCTGGGCTGCACTACAAAGAGACACGCGGACGCTGGCGAGCCTTTTCGCGGCAGTTGAGACCACCACTACTAAGGCTTTAGGGTCCGACGAGTCATCCTCAGAGTTTTCCTCAGAACCAAGCTCAGAAACGGCTTCTCTACAGCTTCAACGGCAGGCTCAGTACCAGACGAACCAGCGTCCCCAATAACCTCAGGAACCTCAACAGGCTTAGCAGGCTTAGAGCTGACGGCTCCCTTGCTTTTAGAATTTCCTTTAGCCATAGTAATAGCTCAAGAATAGGAAAATTATTAATAAAGTCTAGGTATAGTATCTAGCGGGTAGCTAACTTTAGGGTAGTATTAGCTACTATGAGGTAGTATAGAATACTTACAGTCCTGACGCTGGATAGTAAGCAATTGTTAGACAGTCTAGAAGCAGTACCCTACGGTAACTACTAAATAACTGAAAATATGTAAACATCGATGGATATTTCCTTATTTTAAACTATGCGATATAAACGAAAATACAATTTAAGTCAGTTAGGATTTAGCAGTGGTAGCTTGTGTAAGAATGATCGGGACTGCCTCTTGGTAAGAGCCTTAATATACTCGATCACACAGGACGTACCTCTAGCTGTTCTTTATTGAATAATTTTCACTAGAAGTACTAAGTGTTCATGACCACATGCCTAATTTGTTGATAGACATAAGAACGTAAGTCAAGTTAATACATTAGCTAATATAAATAAAGTTCCATCTGAAGAAGAGTTAAAAAAAGAAAAAGACTTATTGGATTTTGGAGATTGGCGGGAAAACCAAAACCTGTAAGTAGTAGTTCAGAGATTAATAAAATTTAGTTTTCTGAAATAGGTCCAAGCAAATGAGTCATACTGAATACTCAGGCTATTGGAGCCATCAAAGTGAATTTATAACACTCTGGAAATATTGGAAAATGGACTTGTATTAAATTAATTTAAATACAAATAAAAACCAACGTGTTATCTCATTTGATCTTGATATTTTAGACTGACCAGAGGCCGTATTTCTACATTAATAGTGTTATCCCTAATAGTGTTATCCCCAATAAAGAATTAGCTCTTGCGTACGAATATGAGATTGGCCCAAGCGGCTGAACACTAGCACAAACACCTTACGTATAAAACCAAAGGTGAGGTCAGAAATAAATATATACCTTTACACTTTATTTGAAGTCTAGAAGGACGACAACGTCGTGAGAAGAAATGTGGTCTCTGTGACGCGATGGGTCATGCTATATTCGGCTGTCCATCATCAATTTGTCGCGTGTGCGGTGCCGATAATCATACTGGTAAGAAGTGTACAGTAGACCGTTCTACTCATACCTGCAACAATTGTACCAAACCCGGACATAATTAAAAGACATGCATGAACAAGTGGCGTTACGGGTCCAAAGATACAGGCCATGTACACCCTATTTATAATAATCCTACTGTACATATGAATACGACCACACACGCAAATTCACCGCCACACCAGCCTGTACGTCACTACCGCATCAATAATTGGACAGAACATCCACTAGACCTGCACTCACTAATACTAACACTGCAACCTTTATAGACTCGGGCGCAATGATACACATTTGTACCACCACAAACGGTTTCACGAATATACAACATGGAAACTATATAGTTAAATACCCAAACAAACGCCAAGTTACTCTACACGAACGGGGGATGATACTAGGTATAGGCCAAGTACTTATTAGGCCAAACGCCTCCCAAAACATACTCTCCGTACACCTTATGCAACGCCATGGTTATGGGCATTTATATCCCCCCCCCCCCCCCCGAAACCCAATAGCACGAAACCAACGGAATGTCACATACAACACGATGAACACACTTTACACCGCATAGAGAACACAAATGGCCAATATACATAGGCGACTATAAACACACACACACTGGAAGAACGGCACGAGATTCGTGGTCACACACACCCAGATGTCACGCATAAGAAGCTCAAGGAGAACAATATCACACCTGCCTCGCAAACAAAACCAACACATGACAACTAGATGTCATACCCCGCGCTGTTCACGAAGCATATAACGGAAGCATTCGATACCGTCGACATTGACCTCTTCGCGGACGCCAAGACTGCCCAGGCCCCCATTTACTGCAGTCTAGAACCAAACGCACCTCTCCACGATGCATTCGAACAATCATGGAAACAGGATAGGAAATACCTATACGGTAACATTCCATTCCACAGCAAGACTACCTGGCGGGAGTCGCTACTGAAACTAGAACGAAAAAACGAGCTAATCACGATGATCTTCCCAGTAATACCAGGCCAGCGCAACTACAAACAGATACTACTACAACTGAATTCACATGTCGAGATCATTCGTACAAACGAGCACACTTTCCTACAAAACGACACCAACGTCACCGGACCACTGTCCAAATGGCGCTACATATGTTTAGCCAGAGTTGGCAACACAAAATACTCTATCCTACCCACAGATGACCTGATGTCGGCCGAAGCGGATGTGGTAGCTCATCCACATGCATAATGATTCACTCCGTAGCCATATCGCCAAACACCCCACCTCTCGTACTCTCAAAGGACTTCTCTTGCCTTCGCGCGAGAACACAGGGCCACTTCACGAACCTTCCTCGCCAGGTACAAAATGCAAGCTTATAACAGAGACAATCAACATGGGCTCACTGCAGACGAACAAAGTATGGTCTACACATCCTCCCCACAGACGCAGCGAGCACTTCAGCGATCGCATCACCAGGGAAATTCAACGCAGAACACACGACGGAGGAATCAGGAGAGTCGAACAGAAACAAACCGGCCACTGACGACTTCAACACAGCACACACGGCGGAGAAAGCAAGGAGTCGAACACAAACAAACCGGCCACCAATGAATCCAACGCAGCACGCACGACAGAGACAGCAGGGGAGTCGAACACAAACGACCCGGTCACTATTGCTACGCCAACGATAAAACATCCATGTGCACCAGAACTATCGCACAGACCACGCTCGAATAGGGTCTTCTGGGCTGCTGACATCGAGAATGTCGATCGATTACTATGCCACAACAATGACGACAACTCAACAGCCCTTCTTGACATTACAGCTGTTATTCAGCCTAAATTACCGTGTACTCGCACATGTCAAACGCACACATAAACAAAACAAGGCAGACAACAATTTCGAAGTGCCGCTCCAAAACAAGCAAGACTCATTTGTTGGTGATGGCCACAATGCGGAGGACGATGACGAACATGACCTTCCTATCCCCATGAATACAGCAGTCCCGTCTCCAGCTGAGATCGACATCCGCCGTCAAAAACAACTCTACGACAACAACGTCCACAAAATCTACAGCGTCTGTGCCGCAGTACAAGACAACCCACTTACTCCGACTACGATTCGACAGGCACTCAAAAGAAAGGATGCGGAACTTGTTGACCATGATTGCCTTCGTTTGTGTCGAGTGCGTTGACAGTATAGTGTATGAATATCAGCGTCTGCGATGTCTTATTCATGCGTCCAGGTACGCTCCCCATCTGTTCATTGCAGTAGGTACTTCTGGGATACATCACCTTGGATGGACGGCCTGTGGTTGAGTATCGAGGAGAATTGAGTCTCCTCGGATAATTGTACTTAGTTGTTGGAAGTAAATGCTTCCGGAGCATGGGACTTTTATACGAATCCAATTAGCTCATCACTGACCTAGATCAGAATATTCCGGCGTTTTGGTCCAAAATACCCGTTGCCCTCCTTGCATACTATTTTGTATGGTCCGTGA